GTAGTTAAAGAGGTTCGATTTAATTCCTTGACGTGGTTTTTGATGTATTTGTGATGGTTTACGTTTGAAAACGGTGGTTTGTATTGTGTGAATTAAGGATTATGGATGATCTACCAAACTGGTTGGGTTGATGTGTGCGCGGTGCTTAGATTTCCGTACGAGAGCGACAATGCGCCCATTGTGGAGTGCTGCGAGTTGATCGGCTTCGTTGTGCACTCAAAGAAGTTCGGTGCGCTTTTATGTTCCAGTGTTTGCACTTGTCTTTATGGGGTTACTGGCAGCCAAGACCAAAAAGAAACCTTGTGTTTGGTTAGTGTGAGCGAAGAGTGTGTGGTAACACGTTCTAGCCGGTGCAGGTGATGATGGGCGACGTGAGATTGTGCGCAGAACCACTGAGCGCGTGTGGCCGGGCAGAGGACGGTTTTGGTTTCAACATTGACGCGAAGGACACCGGAGGTAACTTTTAGAAGAATGAAGGTGGCACGTGAGAAACAAAGCGTCAGGGAAGTCATTTGTTTGTTTCTATATCCCCAACCAGTCACGGACACAACTGGTATGTCAAAAAGAGCTAACGATTGGTGGATTTTAAGGATTTCGTGTAATAAGATTGACTGTGAGTTTCTCGTCGAAAAGTGTCGTTAAACGTAGTTGTACCGTGAAAAACGGTTGGTGTCGTTGGGCAAAGAGGTGGCGTTCTGTGGCCTGGTAGGACAGCTAATCTACAGCCTTTTGCGCCTAGTGATCTTCGGTTATCATGGTCCAATTTTGTTTGTACCTCTCATACTTGTTTTTAAGGTGAGGATGTTACGTGCGATGAGCTATGAAAATGATCTTCGTTGCAAGGGGGAAACCTCGCCGTCTGCCTACGATGATGATAACACATTCAAATATTAATATACAAACCCACACAAGCGATAAGATCTCTCAGCTCTCCTAATGTTAACAGATCGGGTTGTTATAGTGTTATTTATCTCTGACAGTCCACGTCTATAAAAGTTATATGATATTTTGTGTGTCGCTCTGTTATCTTGGACTTGTCAGTTTTTTTGGACATTTATATGGTCTGTGTTATACCTATCTTTCAATGTTCGCATCCTTTCCCTCCCCTTACTTTCACCGCGCGCTCTCTGTATCACATAACATACCCATACACATCACTCTACATCCATCCTCATGAAGTATATACCTTTACTTTTTATTCAGTTAGCGCTAGAAAGTTTTATTCTCAAACTGCTATACATACTCTTGTCGCAGCGACCTGGCTGTCGCCGTGCATACGATCTCATGGTTCTTTTTAGTGTTCTCAGAAGTCTTTAATATTCGCGCTAGCCTTCTATTCTTCTCAGAATTCTGTATTATTGGCCTGGTGTTCGAAGTAATCATGGACACTATATATAGTTCAGTTCGGCTATATCTGTATTGTCGGTGTATACAGAAAAAGGGGGGAGAGTAATATATGTTACTCTTATAGTCACGGTATAATCTTGTAGTCTCGGCCTAGGTTCACAACGTATTATGTTGTGTAAAACCAAGAATCGCACTTATGACTGCATATTGCCATTTAACTTCAATGAAAAGTGTGTTCAGTCGTAACGGAGGAGTCAGGACTATAGTCATAGGCGCAGACTCCTTTGTTGAGATGATGGCAACCACACTCTCTCGGGAGGACTTGTTGCATCTCGTGCATCGGACAGCTCCGTACAATATCGAGAATACAGTATATGTACTACTAGTTCTTTGCTGTCGCCGTCCTTCAATATTTCTCGGGACCGACTTAGCCACCCCGATGTTCGGGAGGAAACTGCGTCCACGCCTAAGGTCTGTAGATATACCATTGTAACCCGATGTAGGATTGATGCCGATTTTTTGTTATAGGGGTCAGCCGACCTCACAACAAGGTTGCACAACTCCTGTTAAATAGTCTCCTTCAGCATGCCCTATAACGAGATGGAGATAACTTTCTTAGGAGTAAGAAGACTATCCTCCAAAGTCAAATTCCGATCATATTACTTATGATCACTAACCGATTTGCAAATAGTTCGGGATTGACAGATTATGCTCTGTACAATTTTGACTATGTTTCTCCAGGCGTTTTGATGATAGCGTGAGAGGGGGAGCACTATTCAGTACTGGTCACCGCAACTTACTAGAAGTCACTCACATACAAACAATGAGATTGAAATTCTACATATGTTAGAGGGAACGACGACCAATGACTTTGTTTGAATTTATTCTCGTAGTTTCAATTATGGTTAATTCCTAAATCCTAGGAGAGTCTGAAGAGAATTTCTCAGGAGAAGGGCACACACCCAGATGGCTCACAGGATCGATCCTCCTCACCTAATCTGGCTACTAGCGATACAGAGGGCCTATTTGTTCGTGAATTTCTCAGGGAGGACCGACTAAGTCCACTTATAGTCATACATCACAGATGAATTCTCAGGAGAGGACGAACTACAAGTCCACATTAGTCATACATACAGACCATGAAATTTCTCAGGAAGGACGACTCAAAGTCCACTTATATTCATACATCACGAGTATGAAATTTCTCGAGAGGACGACTACAATCCACATATAGTCAGTACATCACACGAGATGAAATTTCTCAGGAGCAGGACGACTACAAGTCCACATATAGTCATATATCACAGGAGATGAATTTCTCAGGAGAGGAGACGACTACAAGTTCGGATTCATACGCATGTTCGTATCGTCATGCTCGAATTGCCACTTTCTCGTCCATCTGGTATGGCACTATTGTACAATGGATTTCTATGCTAAGAGAGAGGTACTGATCCTGAGACTACCGGTCCCAAGAACTCTCTATGTTTGCTTCGTTACCTCTTAATACTCGGACAAGAGATCACCGAGATTGTTCCCACGGGTGTCGAGAGCGAGGCTGTCTACAGGGCTCGACCTTTCATGGGTTAGAGCTCACGCGCTAGGTACCCTCTTTCATCCTCGTTACAATATGAAGCGGGTGTGTGAACTCTGGTTCTCAGGAGAGTGTTCGTACCACTGGAGCCTTTGTTAGCGCATAGTTGTTCACTGGTGCAATCATCATATTTCGGTACTGTGACACACGGTAGATGGACGACCTAGTTTTTTCGCTCAAGAGAGAGTCGCCGTACGTCGCTATAATTTTCCAGTTCGATTTTATGTGCATACTTACTATCACTCAGAGATATATGATGTATTTCTAGGAGGAGGGACGACGGTTCTATATGTACCTCGAATTATGCGTGAGACGCTACGGATTATTATTAACCAAGAGAAGTGTGAAACGACAATTTTCTCACAGGAACGAGAGGACAGCGGGTCAATCCCCTTACCCCTGTACAAACCATCAATTATCTTAGCTACGGCTCAATAATCATATAAATGCACGAATAGATCGACACGTATAACATAAAATTCGTCTTCATCCCGGTTTACACACAAGTAATTATTTTTCCCAATCGGGACAGTCCACCGCCTTCATGGGTGTGTGGTTTTGTGAATTGTGTTTAGTGTTCTGAGAAACTGAGCAATTAAAAAAAAAAACGTGTGTTAGCAATCGAGAAAAACTGTAATATCAAATCCATCATAATAACAAGCCATTACCATGCTGTCATGTATTTTGTATTTCTTCCTTTACTGTATTTCTGTAAACTCAAGCAATCTTTCTCTGCAGAAACCTCTATGTACAGAGCACAGCCCATAACAGATGAAAATGCTTTAGATTATGCTCAGCAGTGTAGTTGGGTGGTCAAACCACCTAGTATTATGAATGAAGTGTGTTATATCTGGTGCAAAAGTTTGCATTTGGTAAGTGTTTATGTAGTCTTGAGTGCAGTTCTTCCTTTAGCAGGAGAAATGAGGTGTTTTGCACTTTGGGTGTGTGGTTTTGTGAATTGTGTTTAGTGTTCTGAGAAACTGAGCAATTAAAAAAAAAAGTGTGTTAGCAATCGAGAAAAACTGTAAAAGCGCTCTACAGCCTGCAGTGCCCGGATGATCCACCAGAGGGCAGAAGACATGTATCACATTGCATGCAACAGGTCTTTTAAGAACGTACTAGTAATTTGGATGACGTAGAGGTCTCAGAAACTCATGCATCAAATATGATACACTTGGCGTTATAGGGTTTTAACAGGTTAAAAAGCACCAGAAGCTTATACACATCTAAGTTGTTCGTGCCCCACCACTTTTGTACATATAAAAGAAGGCCAAGAAGGCAAATAAACTGTGAAATAAACATCTTTATCAAACTTCTAATCAGCTATCTCCAAACAGAAAGCAACAGAAATCTGCACTCGTTGTGAAGCAAAACAAGAATAATATTCAAAAATAGTCATGTAATAACTTCTGGTTTGGTATTTACTTTTAAGATTTTATTAAAAAGAAAAAGTACAGATATTTCACTTCAATTTCTTATACTTGTGAGACCAAATTGTACAGGACCATATAGTCTGTTTTGTCAAACTCCAAAGTAAATATATTTTAAAATAACATATTAACAAGATACATTTTCATTTTGACCTTTTACTTCTGATTTATTTTTTAAGCCCACGACGGTAAATCCACTCCAAAAATGTACCAATTTCCACCTATTCTACACCTCCCCTGATCTACATGTTAACTCCCAGGCTTTCCTCTTTGAGGACTGAGTGTGGAGAGAAACAGCAAAGTTTATATATTGAGAAAGAGGGTTATGTAAGGGTAAGCCCGGTGACCACAGGAATCAAATCAAATCAAGTTTTATTTATAATACATTTTTAAAACGATTTTTGGTCGAGCCAAAGTGCTGTACATACAATAAAAACACTTTACTACGATAGCAATCAGAAGACAATAAATAAAAATAAAAATAGCCAGCTTAAAAACATTTGGTTGTAATGTAGCTGTTGTTCCTCCTATTCATCGTTATAATACTGGTATGCACTCCAGCTTTATGGAAGATACGTCAACACCTTATACTGTATCTGTGTGGAACAGGAACAAGCAGGCACAGAAACCAGTTCCTCCTTATGACAGAAAAGAGTGAATATCATGGAGAGACAATTGTGTAAAACTGATCTCATAATTTCAGAGGAAAAACAGGAAAATTATTGTCACAGGTGATCGTCATGAGGGAGATTTAGTGAGTGGGTGAATATTCCGGTAAGCTGTCAGGATCTTGTTGGTACATGAGTGTTGAAGCATATCTCCATTATCTGCTCTTTCACCAGAAATCTTGGCAGATGTAGTATTCCTCATACCACATAACCCTCGTTGCATAACGAAGTTGAGATGTCTCCGATTGCATTATGAGATGATTCCCTTCATTTTTTCAATGTTTCTGTATTTCAGTTTTTACTGTCTGCTTCAAGTGAAGAAAAAAATATGAGAGGCACAATTGAGTGTTTTAACTTCTTTCAGAGTGTTGTTTTGATATTCAGGCCCACAATTTCCTGTTGTGATTCACCCTTACTGTACTCATCATTGAAGTGAAACAAGGACGCTTTTTATGTAAAAAAAAACACTCAAACCCACTGTCCACTCCCTGCCTATCACCAAGCGAAAGACAGACAAATGAAGTGGCTAGTTGGTGAACAGAAACGTTTCTGCAGATATTTAGACTAAAGGTACCCTCTGGACGCAATTCGACGCCAGACAAAGCCAGTCTTGGCATAAATCAGAGCGAAAAGGAGAATGAATGCTTGACTTGCATTTCAGTTGGCCGCAAACACATTTCAAAGGGCCTACATTCCACTCTGCTGAAAGAGTAGATTTGTAACTGTTGACCCACATTATTATTATTATTATTATTATTATATCAACTTAGTCTGATTATATGATATTGCTTACATAGAAATACATACAATAGTTGTTTGAATATTTCCTGATATAAAAGTTATGTAAGAAAAATCTCTTACAATTCAACTCATGAGTCAACACAGTGTAATCAGTTTAGATGGATGGCCAGAGTCCTGAGTTCAAACTCGTCCGCCTCTTTTCCCGCCACGCTGCCGCCCGTGTTTATTTCCTTGCTTTTGAACATCCTCCCCAGTTTCATCGACAGGGTGTTCAGGGCTGAGCGCTCGTCCGGTGTAGAGCATCTGCGGTTAATGTGTTCGCTCCGGGTGAAGGTAGACATGGTCCTGTTCTTCGAGCTGGTGGCCTCGAAGAGCTTGCCCATGAAGCTGAAGCCGGCCTGGCGGATGTGGGAGCTGCCAGCAAACACGTACAACATGGGATTGACCGCACTGCTGAAGTAAGCGAATGCCGTGACATTTGGACGGGCTGCAAGGGCGACTGTAACAGCGGATTTACTGTCCTGCAAAACGCCCACCACCTGTTGAAGGGAGAAGAGGAGGGAGATTAATAAATAAATCACATAACTGCTCTGGTAAATTCACTCTCATGTATATTTCCACAGCTCTTACTCCATCAATTGAGCAGAAGAGCGTCAGAGTGTCATACTCAGCTCACTTGTTCATTAGAGTCAGTTTTACTATGCCCCTCTTTTCTCAATTCGGGTTAAAAAATAAAAGATGTATTTACCTGTAGCAGTTTCATATAAAAATGTCACGATCTGTCTGTGTTGTGTTTTTTCTTGTTTAGATCTGTCTTTTGTTTTCTGTCTGCGTTGTGTTTTGTCTTGTTTAGATCTGTCCTTGGTTTCTTGTGGTTTCCTCATCCCAATACCCCTCCTCGGCCCTTTCTCATTTCTCATCTCCCCTCCTCGACTCCCTCGACTCCTATCCTCGATACTTAGTCCCACCCACAGGAGATGCGAGCGGAGGAGCCGAGGAGGGGAACCGAGGAGAGAGGAGGGGAAGCAGCAGGCGGTTAGAGAAATGAGAACTCCTCTCCTCTGAGCGGTCATTTTAAAGAGACGTCCATTAGTGATGACAGGAGGCACAGCAGCACTCTGTCTGATGGACAGATGTGTTCATGACGACTTATATTTACTTTGATTCATTCACAGTGCGGTATAATGAGACAATAACAGGCTAGATGTGGACACACACACACACACACACACACACACACACACACACACACACACACACACACACATATAGATANCTCCTCTCCTCTGAGCGGTCATTTTAAAGAGACGTCCATTAGTGATGACAGGAGGCACAGCAGCACTCTGTCTGATGGACAGATGTGTTCATGACGACTTATATTTACTTTGATTCATTCACAGTGCGGTATAATGAGACAATAACAGGCTACAGATGCGGACACACACACACACACACCCACACACAAGCCGAACGGCGGGTTCCGCCCGTGCGGGGATTACCGCCGACTCAACGACGCCACTACGCCTGACCGCTATCCGGTGCCGCACATTCAGGACTTTTCGGCGCATCTGGCCGGTACGGTGGTGTTTTCCAAGGTGGATCTGGTGCGTAGATACCACCAGGTTTGTCTACCTCGACGACATACTCGTCGCCAGCGCTTCAGTTCAGGAGCACCTGTCCCACCTGTCCTTTTCACATGGCTCAACGAACATGGATTGATCATCAATCCTGCAAAGTGCCAGTTCGGGGTGTCTGACATCGATTTCCTGGGGCACCGCNATGTTGTTAATATTTTACTGAAATGTCAGTTTGGTTGACTGATGAATGATGATATGAATGGTTGAAGGTTACTTCCTAAGCATTGGTTCATTTCATAGACTGTCAAGAATGGATTTGACCACTTCGATGTCACATTTGTTATTTAATGCTGTGTATTCCCACAACATCTTGGCGGGAAACACCACATACCTGAACATAAAGCATACTTTTGGCATTTAACGGAATCAGTATCTATTTCTGGCCCATTTAGGTCAAACTCATCAATATAAAACTCACCTCTATGATGTTGACGATGTGATACGGCAGCCAGAAAACTGCAAAGGTACAGATGATCATCAGGATGAGGCGGCTGCCTTGTGCTCGGCGCTGGAACTTGGCACTCTGCAGACGACAGATGACGGAGGAGTAACATGTGTTGATGAGGGAGAAAGGCAGCAGGAAGGCCATGATGGTCTCAAACAGGTACTGGAAGACCCGGTGACCCTTGCTCTTCCAGTGGTACGGCACGCAGAAGCTCAAAGTGATATTGTTTGGGAAAGTACTCCTCATATCCAGTCTGTAAATTAACATAATCAATGTTTGAACTCATTACAGTATTACCATTACAAACTAGCCTTTATAAAATGAGAAACTAGATATATTTCAAGAAAATACACATTTTTGTCTCACCTGCGGTAGAAAGGCATCGGGACTGGCAGGAGCAACGCTAACACCCAGACAACAAGCAGAAGAATCAGGAGGGAGCGCTTGGTTCTCATTGTCTTGAACAGAAACGGCCTGGACACGGCCAGCCAGCGGTCCATGCTCATCAGGCAGATGAGGTAGATGGACATGTACATGTTCACACTCGATAGGTAATGCACCAGCTTGCATGCTGCCGAGCCAAACTCCCAGCCTCGGCCTCCAGCCAGGTAGCGCAGGAACAAAGGGGCGCTGAGCAGCACGAAAGCATCCGCCATGCTCAGATTCAGCACCAGCAAACCGGTCACTGAGCGATTCTTCACCCGGCACAACACTGTCCAAACAACAAACAGGTTCCCAGGGAAGCCCAGAACAAAGGCCAGGGTCAAGATGGCGATGCCGACCATGGCGTTGACTGACAGAGGAACAGAAGCAAAGGAGGACTGCTGGGAGATGGTGGTGGTGATATTGGATGCCATCAGGAAAGCCTGAGAAGAATCTGAGTGAGGCTTTGACCACTGTGACATTTACACAACCTTTTAAACAGAAAATGAATTAGGTGCCAATGTTTGTCAATGCTTCGAAAGGTTACAAATGTTTTTACCTTATCTGCTACTCTAAATCTACACTACATATTTATAGAAAGTGATGTTGCCTGTTATCAGCAAACATGGACCTCAAAAGATCATTAATTGCCTTTTTCCAGATGGTAAGGATTGATACGATATCACTTTTTACACATCTTGATAACAAAGATGCTTCAAATGTTTCACCCTATAAGGCTTTTGTGTGTTGTATTTGAATTATTGGAAAATTACGGTACATAAATAAAAAAGGAATACTTTTACAATCAGGGCTCGACATTAAGGGCTGCCCGATGGCCCGGGGCCATCTAGTATTTAGCTCGGGCCATGAAGCCTCACCTGCTGGTTGCCCGATCGGGCAATTCCTTCGACCAATTTACAGTCGATAACATTACAAACATTTTTAACAGGGGCCATAATAGCGTAAATAATGTTTGTTTTGGCAGTTATAGCTGCATGTAATGTTTTCTACTTTTTTACATCTGGGAAGGCATTTGCCTTCATCAGATGGAAAGTGTCTTGACAAACAACTTAAGTATTTATTATAGCTATGCAGGGCATGCAAGCAAGCAAACACAAACAAGTGAAATGAAGAATACAATTGAAATTGATAATATTGTGGTGGTTCATCTTATAATTCAGTCTAGAGAATGCACCAGACAGCATCTAAGACCTGCAAAAATCTAAATGTTCTAGGGGGAGGCCCCCCAAACCCTTCGTGCGTCATTTCGTCCGCCCGCATTTTTCAGGGCAATCTCTATTGGGCTCAGGGCCATCTGTAAATTATCTTAGAATCCTTAATGTCATGCACTGTTTACAACATTTCTAGATTAATGTTTCATTTCCTGTATTTAGTCCCTAATTCCATTTCATTTGTATGCCATTTGCCAAATAAGACAGAGGGGAAAGCTTTACATTTCTGATATATCTTTTAATTTCAAGTTTTACTGATTGAAATGTAAACAAATATTTCCTTTTTTCTTATCCCTGGGAGACTGCTCCTTATAAGTAGAGGCACATGTTCCCAAATTTTCTCACAGATTATTCTGAGAGTGTTAGTGCAGTTTTAGACAAACACATTACTAACAAGGCAACTTAAGTATGGAAAACTGTGAACTTTTGAGCTTTATTCTGAAAAACTAAACTCTATATTTAACTTCAAATCTTCTTGTCTCCGGACAGACAGCAACAGAGAGCTGCAGTCTTTGTGTTGGAAAACAAAATCAGAAACAGTCATGTTTATGAGTATGTTTAACTAACTGATTTCACATTTTATAAAAATATACAGGAAACTTCAGTCCAAATCAGAGATTTCAGTCCATAATTTGTATTACTGTAGAGGTGAAATGTTTCGGTCAGACTCCAAAATAAATATATTTTAGGTGTAATATATTAACAAGTAACATTTGCATACTGACCTTACTGCTGATCTCTTTTAAAGCCCACGACGGTAAGTCCACTTGAAAAATGTACAAATGTAAACCTATTTGAGACCTTTCCTGATCTGCTGTTAACTCCCTGGCTTTCTCCTTTGAAGAGTGTGGACAGAAACAACAAAGTTCAAAGATTGTTGTATGCATTCCAGCTTTATCGAAACCTGTGTGGAACACAAACAATCGAGGCAGCGAAACAGTTCCTCCTTATGACAGAAAATAGTGAATATCATGGAGAGAAAATCTTGTAGAACTGGTGGCATTATTTCAGAGAAAAACCAATATAATTATCGTCCAAGCTGATCGTCATGAGGGAGATTTAGTCGGCGAATATTCCAGTAAGCTGTGAGGATCTTGTTGTTGTTGAAGTATATCTCTTCCATCTGCATTATCTGCTTTTTCACCAGAAATCTTGGCAGATGCACAGCATATTCCTCGTACCACATAACCCCCGTTACATAACGAAGTTAAGATGTGTCACATTTGCATTGCAAGATGATACCAATCATTTTCTATGTTTTCTATTTTTCTTTGTTCAGAGTGAGAATTAAAACATTTCAGTTGAGACTCACAATTGAGTGTCCCTCAGCGCATTGTTTTGACATTCATGCCAACCTTTCGCAAAGCCACGCCCCCCCTTGGTTACTGTTGCTAGTCCGACAAGCTGAGAGCCAGATGCTTTAAACAAAGCCGCATGGAGGGTCTCCGTAACGTCGGAGTCGCCTTAACAGACTCATTTTGGAGCAATAACGCAGCAATATCCTCCAGGTCCCGAAAAAAGGGCCTACAATACGCTATGGAGGGTTATATCCACAGTATAAACATTAGAAAAGAGGGAGGCACAACATCAATAGAGGCACTTGCATACAGGTCGCAGTGCAAGAGTGAAAAACCACATGAGCTGTATGTCAAATTCGACGGAATTATTATTATTATTTTGGAATAAAACAATACAATCACAAGAGGCATTAAATGTTGTAGTTTGTCTAAAGTTAACTACCGTTTCCTTGGTGGCTTTCTGCATCCACCTTGTTGTTCCTTTGTGGGGGTCGGGGTGCCCACTTGTGCAGCAGGATTAGGGAAGTCGGCAGTAGGCTTTCCATTAACAAAATGCTACAAAGATTAAAGCAAAATATAAATGAATGATTGCCTGTTGGCTTTCTTGTTTGTACTTTGACCACAGGTAGACTAATAACGGAGCTCAGCTGTTCAGACATTATTATGCATCAAGTGATATACATGGTCAAAACAACCTAGAAGCACAGTCGTGTGACTTTAGCTAACGTTAGTTAGTGAAATTAGTTAATTAAATTAGTTAGTTAATTTGTGAATGTAATCTTTGCTAGCTAGCTAGCTACGTTAGCACGTATTTACCTTGGAGCAAACGTATTTGTGTTTGTTGATATTCGCCATATTCAGCTGGGCATGGGGCCTGCCGCATTTCTTTATCCACTGGCGGCATCTCTCCTCTCGGGTTTTGGGTTTAGGAAACGGGTAAAATATCACCCCCCCCTCTAAGCTTATGGGATATCTGCTATCCGATTTGCAAAGACCATAAGCACAACGCTTCACCATTTTCGCAATGAATTTGAACGCTAAGCTTGTCGGACTTCCACAGGGAGCCGCGCACGTGATCGAATATGATTGGACAACGGGCATTTAGGGGCGTGGCTTTGCGAAAGGTCAATTCACTGTTCTGATTAACCCTCACTGTTCTCATAATTTAAAGGTGACCTATCATGCAAAATGCACTTTTGTACGTCTTTTATACATGAATATGTGTCCCCGGTGTTCCAGAGAACTCACCAAGTGTCAGAAAACACAACCCTCTCTATTTTCCTCCATACCCAAATCTCTTAAAAATGGGTTGCAACGGATCTGATACAGACTGATCCAGATTTGAACACTTCTGTGACGTCACAGAAGTGGCGCGACGGCTATTGGGCCAACACCACCAATCGGGAGGAGACAGCCACGGAGACGCTGTAGTACATATGCAGGCCTGTAGGTGGTGCTGTTCTCGCAGAATCAGCCCATGCAAAGACAGTGTTAAATTGAGCAAAATGAGGAATGGCTAAAATGCATGATCTGTTTGATATTTTGAAAAATAAAAAGTATAAATATGCCTCATATAGGTATTGTCCTACACTATATTATTCAAATATAGCATGATAGGTCCACTTTAAGCAGAACAAGGACGTTTTTCATGTAAAAAAACGTTCATAAAAAGACTGTACAATACCTGCTTAGCACCAAGTGGAAGACAGAAGTGGCTAACTGGTGAACAGAAGCGTTTCGGCAGATTTTTTTTTCAGGAGACCATCATGAAAAACTGAATTTACTCTCTGGCCGCAATTCGACAGCAAAAGTGTTGACACAAAACAGAGCTAAAAGGACAATGAATGCTTTACTTGCACTTATCAGTTGGCCGCAAACGCGTCTCCAAATAAATGTTTACAGTGCAATGTCTAGATTGGTAACTGTTGACTCACATTAAATCAACTTTTACACAGATTATATGATTTAGCCAACAAATAGTTTCTGTCACTGTTTTCATTCATTTTGACATTTTGGTGTATGTACATATGAAACATAACATGATACAATTAAAAAATATTTTTTTATGTTAAAATAAAAAATGTACAGTAAACTCCACAGTTCTTCCATACGAAATGGTTCAAAACAGAGCAAGGCTCTGTATAATTCTGTATAATAAAAATGTACAGATAGTGTGGTTAAGACTCAAACTCAAACACAACAATGTCACTTAGTGCATCAGGTTACAAAACTGTTCCAGGATCATTATGCCATTAAACATCTCTTTTTTAATGTGAATAAAGGAGAAGACTCCGTCTTGGATGGATCTTTCTTGAGGTGTCAGGAACTTTGCTGCACAATGAACCCTGAAGAAGTCTTGCGAACGTAGATAAAAAGGCTTGCGTCGTTTAATGTTGCGCTCCGGGGAAACAACACCAGCGTCAAGCCTGCTCCTCTTGAGTCCTCTACTTTCCATTGTTTACAGGTTTGGCATTAGAGCTAGAGTCTTGATCTTTTTCCTTAAGCATTACAGCATCTGCCTCTTTGTCTTTTTCGCGGCTGTTCTGGCTGTTCTGGCGGCTCTTTCTGGTGGCCGAGTCCAGCGCTGTGCCCTCAAATAAGCGAGCCATGAACGCAAGCCCTTCTCGTCGGATGTAGGACTTTCCTGCGAAGAAGTACAGGACTGGGTTGGCACAGCTGCTGATGAAGGCGATGGCAGAGGTGACCGCTCGGCTCTTGTGCCATATTAAATTCAGCCTGGGGGGTTGAGAAGGAGAGAGCATTTTATTAAAAGAAAAATAACTTTAGGATATACATATGACAGCTTAGTACATCACATGTTTGGATTACAATTGAAATACATTTTTTTATTTTTTTTTATTTCCTGGTATCTAAATATGTGATCCTTAGCTCTTAGCTTAGCAAATAGAGACCCAGGGAATACTATTAGCTATCATAAATGAGATGCAGGCAAGTTGTTGTGTCATCACTTACATCTCTTTCACTTTACCCTTTGGACACAACGCCCATGTTACCTGAAGACAACAAAAAATGGCTTTGTTAGTAGCAGTGAAAACTCTCTGGACACATGATGCATTTCAAATAATCTCTTTAGACATACACATACAATTCTTGGAAGAATGTGTTACTCATTAAAGAGGATGTTTGACATACTTGAACCATATTGACGAGGTGGTAAGGCAACCAAAAGAGGCAGAATGTCAACACGATGGCAAGGATGAGCTTCTCGCTACGAATGCGACGGCGAAACTTGGTTTGTCGGAGCCGCCGCAAGATGCAGATGTAGCTGACTACAATGACCGTGTAGGGAATTAGAAACCCCAACACAAGCTCCAGCAGGTACTGGAGGGCCACCTGTGCGTAGGATGAGAAGAAATAATGTAATACTCTAACATTACGTAAGATCACATGAAATGTAGCAAGAGGTAGGCGTTTCAAAAACCACAGATACCAATGGGATGGAATTTGATACATGTTGACAGGTTCACATCTCTGTTAAAAGACATGAGATTAGCTGATTTAGGAAGTTTATAAGTACTCAAAGAGAAAGATCAGGGAAATGAGCAAATCCGTTTTTTTGCTGCTGAATGCTTTTCTCTGTTGCAATCATTGGACAAAAAACTCTCAGTATATTACAAATGGCAGCTAAGTACATAACTTGTTGGATGACCCCTTAATTAGTTATTTGGTTTATTTTGGAAGAAAACACTAATTAATAAATACCTACAAGTGTGATGCTTAGCTCTTAGCTTAGCCTAGCATAGAGACCAGGGGATAGTGTTCCTGTTTCTGTCAAAAGTAAATAAAAATGTAATGAAAGAAACCCTCTAGAGCTAAATCATCAAATAATACTACCACTAATAATAGCCTGTTTGAGTCAGACACAGTCTAAAGGTTTCCAGTTTATTCCAGTTTGTATGCTAAGCTATGCTAATCATCCATTGGCTCTTGCTTTATATGTGTCTGATTAGCAACTTTAGACGCAAGGATGGAGTTGGAGTTGAGCGAGGACATCAACAAAGTAAAATGTAGAGCATTGGCAATTTAAAAAACATTTTAAAATAAAATAAAAAGCAAAAACGTTGTCAGTCAAAAGCTGAATTACAACCAAGCGGCAAACTCTGGGGAACAGCCGGCACGCCAATACGGAAGTTCAACACACTGCCGTTCATACATGGGCCGCTAGGGACTGACTGCAGAAAGGAGCAATAAATATTATTATCGATATAGTTAGATTCCACCTTCATGATTATGAATCTGTGAGTGAATTGTTTTCTAACACGACCCTTTTATTTATATTAGGTCTTAAAGTTTTTGCATAAATTAGGGCGTGGTCACTTTGATGGACATGTACATGCCTCACTGTCAGCTAACAACAACTTGTCCACTCTGCTAGGCTACAACCATAGAGGCTACAACGTTAGTTAGT